GAGGGAGGATGGCGGCGGGGAGAGGGTTCGGGGCCCCTTCGGGCTCACCATCGCGGGCTGAGGGATGGCTGCTGGGGGCAGGGGAGGACTTAGCCCGTGGATCTAACTGGCGTCTTAACTCTCCTGTTTTCTGCTTGCTTTTCAGGTCACGAATCAGGTAAGCAGCTTTTATTTGAGGTAACCTTTAGTCTCTCTCTAGCTTTAGGCCCATCTTCTTTCATTTTCATGTAGTAAAAGCTCTTGCTTCTCCAACGAGAGTAACCTCTTCCTCCCCCACGGATATCTGCGCTGTCTTCTAATACTGGACCGTACTGGCGCCTCCTGAAACCTCCAAGTACATAGTATCATGTAAAGATATTCTACGAAAGAAAAAGCAGTAACAGAAAAGAGAATAGATGTTGTTTGGCTATTAATGTAATGTCTGATGTGTTCTAAGGTGGGTTTTAATTAATTAGAATAATGTTTTGATCATTAATTATGTTTATATATAATGTGTGCCAGTTCTGGACGTGTACATATGTTTGTGAATTTGTAGGGATCTGCTTACATCACTCTGTCGCAGTGTTTCTTCTTTGGCGGACCATATGAAATAATGTCATTTTACTGTATTTGCGCTTTGCTGCTTATTCACAACAATATCTGTGTGCTTTGTTGTTGTTAGTATGATAGAACCCACACTAAAGAAAGGAAGCTTGTTCTAATCCGCAAAACAATGGTGCTAGATAAACTAGCTGAAACGAAATCACACGTACTCCAACAATGGATCTTGTTCTCAATAATTAATTTGAGTATATTTAGCAAGCGTTGGAGGTCAGATGTTTTTTGCTGTTATTTCTCTAAAATGCTAATTGAATCTGTAAGAGAGTGAGGGGTTATTTGATGTTGGGTCATTTTGTACTTGGCTTTATAGTTTCACTTCACAGTTCTTACAGTATTGCTGCTGTGAAGCAATTTGAGAAAGTTTTAATTCCAGTCCTGAGTGGCTTTTTCCAAATATCTGTATTATTTTGTATCACTACATGTTTATATTATATGGAGAAAATCCTAGAAGAACTTTAAATGAACAATTCTGTACTGAAGACCCATGTCTCTTGCCCATTGGCTTTTCATTGATGTGTGGTATCTATCAATTGCGAATGATCATGACTTATAGGAACTTTTACTCTGCAAAGATTTTCTTATTAATATTTCTGTACAGAAAAGGCCACTTTATACCAGTTACACTTCCTCATTCACTATATTTTTTCAGTCTTAACTGAGCAGTGGTTATTATGTAGACTGAGAGATGTATTTACTTTTTTATTAAGATAAAAATGGTTAGTGTTGAATATGAATACACCTCACACTATTAGTAATTGTCCTTCTAATCTCATCAGTACACTGGTAAACTGTATAACAACAGGGCTGTTAGTCACCAGTTATTCATATCCTGCTTAAAATAATAATTAATAGTAATTTGAGATTCAAATGAAGTTGTGAACACATTTAAAAAAAATCCTGTTGAGTTACTTGCAAGGATAGACTCTTTTTTTTGTGGTACTGTCTGCTGTGCTTTGTAAAATAATGTAGAATTCTTAAGGATTAAAATTCACAATGGTGTGCCCCTAATAGCTGTAATGTAGTTTGATGCATGTATCTCTTTACACAGACATCTAGCCATGTGGGTTTTATTTTTTAAATTGTATTTTGTTTATTTTACTTGAGTATTAGACTATCACTGGAAAATTCTCTATCTGTTACTGTTATTGCTAGGTATTGTACTGAACTCTTAAAACCCCCAAAAATTCCAGTCACCTATAAGATGCGTGGATTCTTAAGTATTCAGAACTGTCCTTACAAATCAACAAATGCTTAGCCTATTTTGATTATTGTACAATCACATTATTCCCTTTTATTAAGTGGTAATTAGAAAGAAAATGCACCAAATGCAGTTACATTTGCTTTTACTGTGTTCTTACCATACTATGTGCTCTTTAGTTTTGACATGTTGCAAACTTAGGACTCTTTCAATCTTTGTGGTTGGTAGAAATTCAGACAATAATGGGGAAGAACTGGTATTTCTCAGTTGCAGGGTATGTGAAATCTTTCCAAAACATCTTTAAAGTTTTTCTCCATCAGAAGTCTAACATATTATTTATGTTATAATACAAGTCTATGAATTGCTAAATCCTTAGTATATATAGGATCTCTTTTTGTGCATGTGTGTTAGAATTATTTAAAAGTTCAGGAAGTGTCTGGTGACGACAAACAGGAATATTCTTTCTTGGCCTTTAAGACTTCCGATGGCAGTGACTCCCTCAACACACCACATCCACGTATCTGTAGTGGTCTTTCTGTATTCTTTCTTGGCCTTTAAGACTTCTGATGGCAGTGACTCCCTCAAAACACCACATCCACGTAAGTGGTCTTTCTAAGAGAGAAGTCAGTCTAGTACCATACAGTGCTAACTGTCACAATACTTGCTCCCCCGCCTCCACTTCTGCAGTCTGACGGAATGAATTCTTAGTCAACCTCTGGTACAGAAAGAGTTGATGATTCAGCATTTACAAAGCTCCGCTTTGTGTACGGTGATGACAGGGAATGGTTTCTTCTCTTGGACCTTCAGCCGGGGCGGTCTGATGTGACCAGTGCTACCCTTCTTCCTAAGTCTCTTACAAGACTTCCCACTCTAGTAGGAGAGAGACAGCAGTAAGATGGAGTTTATCTGCCTGCTGTTTACCAGATGTGTTTGACTGTGTATCTTGTTCTCAATTTCTTCTACCACCATCCAAAAAAATGACTATACAAATTTTTGGAGTGAAAAGATCAGCCACAACTGATTGTTCTTCACTATGATGTTGCTTCAGTCTGGCTTGCAACCCGCAGTTGATTCCCTAGCAAGCATAGATAAACAAAAAAGTGGTATTGGTGGATATCTTTCTTGATCTCCCATGAACTCTCTTACCTTTCTTCATCTCTCACATTCTAAGATACCCTTACTTCCTAGATAAGGTACTGTGGGGCAGTTTTGGATGCCCCATCCCTGGCCATCTTCAAGGCCAGGCTGGACAAGGCTTTGAGCAAGCTGGTCTAGTAGAAGGTGTCCCTGCGCATGGCAGGGGGGTTGGAAGTAGATGATCTTTAAGGTCCCTTCCAACCCAAACCATTCTATGATTCTAAGACATTATACTCAAGACTTAAGAGTTTTCCACATTTTATTGGGGTACTTGTATGCAAGTTGGAACCATGAAAACATAAAACTGGCAAAATGCACAAACATTTCAGACACTCATGAAAAAGACAAAGAGCTTTTGTGGGAAGAACCAACTGCTGTAATCCTCTTCTAAATGCAAACACAAGCTAAGACACCAACAGAGTCTACGTGTTTTGTAATTCTGCTCAGTGGATTAAAGCATCAGGTGCATCACAACACAATCACTGTTAAGACTTTCTTCTGCAAAAAACTAAACATGCCGATGGCCTTAAGAAACTGGAAAGACTACATATAAATAAAACAATTAAGGCAATCAATGTTTTGTAACTTTTTCATGAAATAACTTTTGGCACTTTGTTAAACTGAAGCTTGTACTTTTCCCCAGAAGGTAGTAAGATAGTGCATTAAATGGGTCTGAAGAAATTATCACCAAGAAAAAAAAAACCACAAACCACTTCTATTTGAGGATTTTCAGAAATTATAATATGTGGTTGTATCCAGCCCTTTAAGTATCCAATTCTTATTAAACTAACCTACGTTACAAATGTAAGTGCACCATATTTTGCTTTCAGTTCTTTATACAGCATTTCTAGAGGCATATTACAAAAACGTGTTTGCTTAAGAAGTGAAATTCCTTTATAGAAATAAGGGAACCACCCAAGCAATACTTTATTGTTTGGGTGTTATAAGGATATATTTCTTAATTCTTTCATTATGACATTTATGGAATTACAATGAAGGGCTAGTTTTTCAGTACATTTTAGAAAAGGCGCCTTTGAGGCCATTAATCAAAATAACTGCCATGACAAGGTGGCAGCAGCTGTAGAAACTTCAGTTCTATGCAGCCAGTCAAAAGGTGTACCAGAAGAAATACATGGCTGTAACTTACACGAGGTGCATTATTCTTCTTTACCAGCTACTCCTCACTTCATGTGGCCACAGTATGGTCTTCCTCAAACAGCAGATGCCCCATTATAACCTTCTTACTTGGGAAATTCAAGATTTATTATAAATTCTTTAATTTATAATTAAATAAATTCCTCAAAATAAAGTTCAAGGAGTACAGTCCGTTTATCATCACAATTGGTTTTAATAATTTTTTTCAAAATTTGCAACAAAGGCAGAATTAAGACAACACTTTCAGCTTCATCAGATGTGTGAGAAATCTTACACCCACAAAATTCTTATCCTTCCAGTTTTCTTAATTTTTTCAGTGTGTCTAAAAGAGCAGCACTGACTTAGCATTAGTGCTCCTGGTCTTCACAATGAGACATATGAAATTTTAACATAACCATCAAGCAATTTCAAAACTTAATATTTGGTATGCCCAGGCACTGCTGAATATATTGAACCAGGGCATCGCACAGGCAGAAATGCAAAGCGCACAGAAAGCCAGGCTGATCATTGACCCAGGCTTCCTCTAAAACTGCCTCAGCAAGCAAGACTTACAATGCTCCAGAGTCCTGAGATGGAGGTACTGAGCCACTGGTTCAAAACAGGATACCGTGTTATGCTGTGAAAAACACTTAGAGAGACTTGTTTCTATGATCTAAACAATTATTCATCGTGGGCACAAGCCGGATCAATCCACTCGTCCAGATAAGCTGTTGCACATGTTGTTTTTACAGTGTACTAAAGCAACAACTGAACTCTACTGGTTCTGTTGGTCCTTTAAGGCAAGGAAAATGGGGAAGTGAGGAAAGTATCTTTAGCACAACAGGATAACCTTGCACACCAGCCACTACTATCACTTGTTTTCCACTCTGCAGCACCCTACTCAAAGTATACAAAACATTAAATGTTTCCTTGTTGCAGTTTTTAGTTTATTCCACTGAAACAGAAATGAGAAACTAAGAAAAAAAGAACACAATAAAAGGCTAGAAGTGGCAAGTACAAACAGAGGAATGAAATACAGGGTTTTCGTAGCTTTCAACTACTGAGTAACATACAAAGATCTAAATCAATCTTTCAGCTCTTCATACAAATAATTCTTTAAAACCCAAAACAAGTTGCAATTTTCCCTCTGTAATATATCCATCTATTTAAATCTCAATCTGAGGTCTACATAGCTTGAGATATTTTAAACTATAGGATGCCATTCAACAACTGCCCTCCCACTGCATGACTATAATTCCTTCATATTTGTCTTCATGCTTTTTCTTTGCTGTGCTGTGCCGTGCCACAGTCTCAACACTTCCCCTTTGTTGGCTCTGTGGAAAGCTTTATGGAGTATTCTCTTTACAGAAAGACACAAAACTGTGCACTGGTCTTTCACCTGCTGCGGCTATGCTTGCAATAACAGGCTGTTTTACAAGTGTGCACATTATCTTCTGCTATTTCCATTGCATTTAGAACACAAGAGTTGAACTCCACCCCCCAAGTGAAGAAATAATTAGGCTTAACTATGTATTTTTAGAAGGACACCTCTGTTTCTCCACACCCGACACGCTTTCACTCCAACACAGCCCGACACACTTTCACTCCAACACAGTAGCTCATCTACAAATACTACCACCCAACACACTTGAGCAGTCGTGGGCACTGCCTTTTCAATGGCTTTGATCAGTAACCTTGTGTGACAGTGTCCCAGAGGGCATAAAACGGGAAGATCTTTTAGGCAGAATAAAGTTTCTTAAGATACTTTATTTCTGTATTTGCCTGACACCCTTAAGAAATGTGTTCCATAACTGGGTGAAGACTAGCTGTATCCAGTTTCTGTCATTTGTTCTATGTTTTGTGATCTTTATTACCCCTGTGACTTCAAAGCCACAACCGTCAAGGGTGTCTGTGGACTAAAATAAATTTCTTTATGTAGCTGATTCTCAGTATGTTAACTGCTTTAAAAAACAAAAAAAGGCAAGATCAAAGGCCTGAAAATAATGCTGGAGGGTAATTGAGAATTGGCAAGCAAGTCCTATGTGGTAAGAGAAACCCAACCTACAGCCGGTTCTCGGTAGTTTAACTGTGAACTACCTGACGCCGGTGTTTGAGCTTCATAATCAGATGCAGGCAATTACTCTACCCTTACCTGGATATAGAGAAGGCATGAGTTGACATAGAATCATCGAATGGTTTGGGTTGGAAGGGACCTTAAAGATCACCCCCCTGCCATGGGCAGGGACACCTTCCACTAGACCAGGTTGCTCAAAGCCTGTGTGCATGTGTAAACCTGCTCACTAGGTGGATTATGGAAAGAAGAGTGAGTCCTCTATGCCTTTCATTTAGGCTTAAGTGATTTTTAAGCATTTTTACTGCAAATGTATCAATAAATATATTTTCTCAAACAGTGTTGGGCAGGGAGTATGGTGAAGCTTTAAAAGTAATCTTTCCCTTCTAGGAAAGAAAACGGGCAAATTACACTGGTCTTCTACAGTATCACTTTTGGCAATAGAATTGGCAACTGCATAGCTGAGTTTTGTTGAGAGCTGGCTGAAGAAATACTTGAGGAGTTCGCTGTTTTTCCATTAGAGAGGGTAGAGGAATGTTATTTGCTGCATGGTTTTTTCAGGCATTTAAATTTGCACCTGTTTATCAGCAAACTGCAATTATTTTAAATTCAAGAGTCTCAAGTGACTGGATAAAATTTTTGCTATAGAGTATGTTTTTTCCAGCAGAAATATAGTAAGTTCTGAAATGTTAACTTTTTGGAAAATACACAGGATCCCCACATCTTTAAGTTTTTGTCCAAAATGTATCTCTCTTGCCAGTAAAAGTGCTGTTTCAATATGCCACAGTGTGCAATTAGCTTTTCTTAACAACTATGAATGGTCAGTGTGTGTATAGTAACAATAGTTTCGGAATTCAGTTAGGTTTTTCTAGACTCTGGTAACAGTCTCTCTTCCTCCTTAAGAGGCCTAATGTTAAATGAAAGATCCAAAATCACTTGGTATTGTGACAAATAAGAAAAACAAGCAGAAAGCCTTTGGCTTGGAGTCTGTTCAAAAGTTCTAAACAAGCAACTGATAATTACCTGAAGATTAATGATTATTTGTCTGGTACTTAATCTTTGTCTACTTCAAAATCTGTTACACTGTCATAGTCTGAAAGGTTTTTTTCATGTAAAAGAACACTCAAAAAGGTACACCTACTAAAATACATGCTCTTGTGTCTGCTCAAAAGTCCATTGACGATCACAATTTTTTGGAGTTGCTGAACCCCAGCAGCTCCACTAGTGTCAGGTGTTCTGAAGTACATGTGGAGTCAAGTAATACCATCAGCTTATTCATATGTGGTCTCACCCATGCCTTCTAATTAAAGTGAATATTCAGTACTTTTCTATTTTGTGACAAAATGCTTTCAAAATGGCTGAAACGCTTTAATGCTTTAGTAAATAGTGCTGGGAGTGTTTTCAGTTCCCTTTCAAAAACCTGCCAAAACAGATAAAACCTGGGGGTTTTATATATCGTTGTTAGCACTATGATTTATTCAGTGTTATTTATTAAAACTTGCATCCCGTTTATTCTCCTTAAATTTTGGAAAGTATGGGTTGTTGCAATGTATTTTGCATTGTAAATACTCTGTAACTGGCCGTACTCATTTAATATTATTCTATTTTTTTTTTCTTTTCTAGTTTTTCAAACAGTTAGGTATACATCCTGACTGGCAATTTGTAGATGTGTATGGTATGGAACCAGAACTGCTTAGCATGGTGCCAAGACCTGTCTGTGCAGTGCTGCTTCTCTTTCCAATAACAGAAAAGGTAAATGCTTATTTCATAATTAGCGAATCAATTTTGTTGTACGTGAAATGGGAATGAATAGTTTGAATCTTGTACTTTGATGTCATAATAGAATCAAGATGAGAATCAAACCTTATTGAAGCGACTTCTTAAAGAAGAACAACAAAATGATTCCTTCAGAACCTTCTTTTGGTAACCTGGCGTGTATATTTCCAGTTTCTTCTCAAGTTGGACTGGGAAAAGCTAATGTAGAAGCACAGTGAAATACACCTGCACATTTCTCTACTCCAGACAATTTCAGGCTTTTTAAAAAATATGCACTGTGAAATGGCTGAGTTCTGCTACTTTTAACAGAAAGCTATAATAGCATAAGCAGTAGAAGAGCTAGGGTGTAGGACTATTTCAATTGCAACGAGCTTCTGAGTTTTCATGCTGTTGCGCTGACGAAACTTCAATCCACTTTCAGTTCAATCATGAGTACTGATACGGCTTTCGCTTCTTGGACAAACGGGTTGTATTTCTTAGATAAAAGAAAATTCTTCTCTTTCTTTCTTCCTCTCTGTTAGACTTTGAAATACTTGTTTTGATAAATCTTCAAGTCTGCCTATTTTGTGCCATCGTATGCGTCTACATAGAGAAGACATCCATCTTCCACCTCCATTGAGTATTATGTAGGTTGAAATGTGTGATTCATATTGATCTTCCAATTTATAAACATCTTAAGTGATTGTGGTAATGTCAGCCAAAAGGTTTGAGGTAAATCTGCCCAAATGTCTTCCTTTTAATGTGTCTCTCAAAAAGAACATGTGCTTTATAAGGACAAAGCAGTAAGCTGTTAAAGCTTAACTTCTATACCAAAGCCTGCTTAAATAGAGAGAAGAGTGACAAGGTCAGTCTTCTTACTCATTAGGTCCTCTAAAACTTTGCATTCGCAGTTTCTCCAAAGAATCTAGGCAGGCAGTCCTTTTCAGGCTTGATTTCAACTACCCTGATAGTTTTGTATTTAAGCAAACTCTTAACTGTCCTCACCTATCTTCACAAAATTTCCTTTCTGTTATCTTTGAGGCAGTGTTTTGTGTCCTGTGATTTCTGTCTGGCTGCTTGAGCTACAGGTCTGAGCTCCTTCTGTGATTATCACTGTCACTTTTGCATCCTTACCTGTGCAAACTTCCTTTCGTGGACGATGCTATGGGAGCATCATCCCATGGGAAAGAACAACATTCCTGTTGTTCCAGAAGGTGTATCTGATTTCATCCTGAAGAAGCACATGACAAACAGAACCAGAGAAACACCATATGCTCTGTTTCAACGATCAATCAAATTTGACCGCCAGCCAAATATTTGAGATGTTCTCCAGCATGTTAATCCTCCAGAAACATAAGGGACACAAGTGTTTCTATCAACTGTTTAGCCCAAGCGTGTGCAGGCTGAATCATGTGAACTCCCACTATTCTGAAGCTTTTGTTATTCAGTGTGAATTCCACAAGACCCTTCAGCATTATTTTTATGTTTCTGGGGTATTTTCTCCTCCTCAGTCTCCTTTTAAATACCGCCTATTATATCCTGCTTCTATTTAATTTATTGTTTCTTTATGTTTCTTGGCTCTGTCTATGTTTATGAAAGTGTGTCGTAATTTTACTGCCTTGGTAAACACTTTTCAATCATGTCTTTTTTTCTTCTGTCTAGAGATTCCTTATTTTTATGTTTCCTATATATAAATTTGCTTGCACTTGCTTTTAGGGCAAGATAGTCTTGTTAGCATACAGATAATCTTAGGGTTATTGTCCAGTTCAAAGGATAATGATTTTCTTAGCCTGCACTGTAGGTGCTAGACAGCGTGAATACTGTGAGCGTTGGGCATTTTGGACATGATCCCATGAATACCTATTATGGAATAGCTCAGGGTAGGAAGGACCTTTTGAAGTCATCTGGTCTAACCCATGCTCAAAATCATATTTTAAGTATTATTGGTATTGATATATTTTTTTTTGCCATGGAGTTAATTTTGGTTAGCAGGGAGTGAATGGCAGTTTTATTGTTTACTTTCTCTAATCTGAGCTGTTGTCCAATTTTGCTCTATGAAATTTTTTTCTCCATTAAGGCTATTTTTGTTAACTTGTAGATAAGTGGTGTCAAATTAAAATGCTTTGTAAATGCTCTTTCTATTACTTAGACCACTCAGAATAAGCTGCAAGCGTGGAATCACTATGCTGGAAATACTTGTTGTTTCTGTTTGACACTGATGGTACATAAAGTCTGAGAGAGTTTTCTCATGGGTTTTCAGAAAGAGTTCCTTGATAACGTTCTGCATTCAAACTTTACTTTTGTCATAATTGTATAAAAAAAAAAAATCCCAAACAATCAAAAAACCCAACAATAAACCCTCCTCCCTGCCATCCCCCAAAAAAACCAATAAATCACCACCAATAACAAAAAAGCAACACGCTGTTGCACAGTATACCAGATCTTAGTCAATTGTGATCTTTACAAAACAAGTACTTTAGATTGTTCAATCAAACTACATTCTTTCTATTATTAGAGAAAATAAACACTTTATGAATATGACTTTTGAAGAGTTTGTTTTGATCCTGTGAGCATTATATAGATCTTACTTTATATTCCAGGAATAAATGAAGTGTAAGAATGAAACTTGTAAGACTACTTCATGCTGACTGAATACCTGTGTTATGGTTTGCTGTATAAAGCTTTGAGATCTCTGTCCTCATGAACTTTTTGTTGTATTGAAGAGAGATGGTGACAGGTGCTTGAATCAAGGAAACATTTTAAACATTTTTAAAACAAAATTCAATTATTTCAAAATTATGTTTTAAGTGTGACTGTGTTTTGGCTAGGGAAAAGGCATCGGTTTAAGAATTAATATAGGCTTATTGAGTAAGTTTACATATACTCATTGGATCACTAGTGTTAAGTGTTTCAAATTACAAGTTAGGTTTTGGTTTTCATTAGGTAGCTGTTGCTTTTTAAATTTTTTTCTGCTTGGATAATGCAACCGGTATCTGTTTGTATTGTTTGTGAAATGTCTGCAACTTTTCCTTCTAGTATGAAACTTTCAGAACAGAAGAAGAAGAGAGAATAAAAGCCAAGGGGCAAGATGTCAAATCGTCTGTGTATTTCATGAAGCAGACCATTAACAATGCTTGTGGAACAATTGGGCTAATTCATGCTATTGCAAATAACAGAGATAAAATGAACTTTGGTAAGTTTTTGTTGGTTTTTCCCTTTTTTTCCTTAGCTGTGAGGAGGTATAGAGGGAAGGGTAAGTTTTTGTTTTCTCTGAATGTAACCATTCATAAAGGACAATCTATTCAAAGAGTGTTTCTGTCTGTAATGATAAAAAGTGTTTCATGCTAATCTGAGGGCTAAAGTACTCAAAATGTTGCAAACTGCAGCAGATGGCAATTCCTCTTGCATGAGCCTTCAGTTTCTTAAAGATAGGATGTCATTATATATAAACATACGATGTAAATCTTGTGTTGGCTATAAGCATTCTGTAAACTTTAAATCATGTTGGAGTTAAAGCATGACTCAGAATTCATTAGTGTTATGTCTTTTTAATTTTTTTTAAGAAACTAATTCATCACTGAAGAAGTTCCTAGAAGATTCATTATCTATGACTCCTGAAGAGAGGGCCAAGTATCTAGAAACTTATGAAGTTAGTATCATGTTTTTTTACTTTTATTGAAATGGTACAAGAATTATTTGCATGAGCAGGTACTGTCCTTAGGACTTGACCCAGTGAAGCACTTAAACAATCCAGTTTTGCGTATGAGCTTGTGATCAGCTAGTTGCTACAAAAAAACCCTACTTTGATAAAATCCATTCTGCTGACTGAACTATGGGCAGGCAGGAATACTTTAAACTAACGATATTCCTCGTCCGTATTAATTCACTGGCTTAGTTTAAAAGGACTTTGAAATGGATGAGAAACGTGTGCATAGTCTTTTTGGTGGGTTCAGGATCCAGTGTAATAGTCAGGTTAAGCTGATCTGGGGCTATTGCTGAAAGGATGGTTCTACTGCCTCCTGTCATTTGTGCCTTCTGATCACCTCTCTCTGGCTCTAGCATTTTGGGGAACACAAAGAACTGATTTGGCAGAAATAGAGCTATAGCTGATAGTGTGTTTAGACAGACCATTAGTGCTGTTTAAAAAGATGTGGCAGAAATGTCTGGCCGGTGGTGGAAGGGGAGAATGGTGCTGTTACTCCTGATGGTAATGATGAGGCTCTCTCAAAATTAAAACCTTGATGAGTTCCAAGTCTGAGTTCAATTTAAAGTTGTTGTAAGGCCCTCAGGAATAAGGGTGTTAACATGTGGCTGAGGGGAGTAGTAACTATCGGAATCAGTAGGGGTTTGACGACATTTTCTGTAGAAATGTTGAACACAAGATGTCTGAGCACAGCTTCTGTCTAAAGTGTTTTGTCTCCTCAGGAACTGATACATAACAAAAAAACTTGACAGTAGTGTTCTGTATGTAGAAGTGTCGTTACAAACTGTTAGGTGTTTGATTTGAACTGGACTGTGATGAAACTGAAAAACTGGTCTTCAAAGATCCTTGGAAGTGGGGATGATTTGTTCTTTCTTTCTTTATTTTTTTATTACAAACACTGATCAAAAATAGTTACAGCCCTGGTGTTTGTTAAAATGAAGAGCATACAGTGACTCTTAAAACACTGAAAGACTCTCATTTCAAGTCTGATTGAGTTTGTTTTAATTTCAGGCTATTCGTGTCACTCATGAATCCAGTGCCCATGAAGGTCAGACTGAGGTATTGATTTTCTAAAAAAAGTCTTTGTTAATAAGTACTTCGAGTTGAATAAAATTTAAATGAAAATAATTGTATGTTAACAGTTTACAGTGAAATGGAGATTATTTCCTGGTTTTCAGCGTTGTGTCATTGGTCAAAAATCAGGGCGCAGAATTAAGGAGTGTTGTTGGGGGTGCGTGTGAAGCAAACTTGAAGCTTTTCAGGTTGCTTGGGGTTTGTGTTTTGAGCTTTTGTATAACATCTTTTCAAGCTTCATTTCAGAGTAAACCAAGCACTAACAGTATTTTTAATGAAAGTTGAGGTTTTCATTTGCAGATTCATAGCTGAGCGTACAAGATCCGTAGTAATTCTACAAGTAGAACAAATGTTTTATGAGAGTCTGAAAAGTTTTACTTCAGGAAAAGAAATATTACAATACTCACTTTGCCATTGTGTACATGCCCTTTGGATACAAATACTAATTCAGATAAATTCTCACTAATATTTATGTTTTATAAGTTTTTATCCACCAACAGATTGGGTAACATTAAAAAAACCAACAAACAACAACTGCAAAAGCATAACCAACAAAAAGCTTTAAAGTAAGCTTGACATTGACCATGTTTCAGCTTTAGTCATACTAAGTTGTTTTCCATCTTTCCAGTTCAGTTTTCAGTATCTTGCACAAAATTGATGAGGTGTTGCTAGCACTGATTTGTTTGACGAAGTGAGGAGCCCTCTTTTGTAGATGGGACTCTAGTGGCTCATAGGTTTTGGTTTTTTTAAGCACAGTAGATAAGACTTTCTTTTTTCTTATGGTTTGTGCAGTGTATTCTAAAACTGCAGGAGAAAACAAAGCAGTTTTTTCTGCTTCCCCCTCACCCCAACATCTGGGAACCTCTACTTACTCAAATGAAGGGTGGATGAGACTTAAGAGAACTGTTTCAACCATTTATCTTAGGGATATTCAACTTCTTTGTGATATTTTGTTTTAAAATAAAAACACACTTTTCTTATTTCTTTCTCTAAATTCATAGAATCATGGAATAGTTTGGGTTGGAAGGAACCTTAAAGACCATCTAGTTCCAACCCCCCTGCCATGGGCAGGGACACCTTCCACTAGACCAGGTTGCTCAAAGCCTCATCCAGCCTGGCCTTGAACACTTCCAGGGATGGGGCATCCACAGCTTCTCTGGGCAACCTGTTCCAGTGCCTCACCACCCTCTCCATGAAGAATTTCTTCCCGATATCCAATCTAAACCTCCCTACTTTCAATTTAACCCTGTTCCCTTTGTCCAGTCACTACAGGCCCTTGTAAAAAGTCTCCCCCAGCTTCCTTGTAGGCCCCATCAGATACTGAAAGGTGCTGTAAGGTCTCCGTGAACCTTTTCTTCTCCAGGCTGAACAAGCCCAATTTTCACGTCCTTTCATCATAAGAGAGGTCATTTAGTCACATGGGAGCATTGCTGTTCTCCCCCCAGTTCTTCGTGCTGTGCAGCACTCTGGCATTACCGTCACTGCAAGCACAGGACTTCAAAGGCTGGCTGAAGC